AATTACTCTCTTCTTAATTGTTTCAATGAGTTTACAATAAAAATTGGTTAACGAATAAGAATATAATAATGAAAGAAAAGAAAATGAACAGTCTCAAAAGAATTTTAAATAATTTTATTCAAAAAGGGTTTAACTAAATAATATAAGTAATTTTCATGTTTTTGATTTATTTAAAAATATCTATTCTTACAAAAAAAATTAAATGTTTATGTTTTTGTGTTCTATTCTTATATTTATAAAAACAAATAGAATATTTCTTAATAATCATTTCAAACTAAATGTGCGATTTTTTATTCTTATTTAAGTTTTTTAAAATATTACTTAAATAACAAAAAAATATATAAGTTTTTTGTAATACTCGTTTCAATAGAAAAAATAACAACCAATAATTATACTAAAAATATAAAATTCGAATTTATTCAATATAATTTGTTCCTTATTTTGATTATTAGTTTGGAGTTTTTAGAATAAATTCTAACTTCCTTTATTTTAAAATAGAGTACCATCGATTGATTCTTGATGAGTTGGTACCACATAATATTAAAATGGATTTTGTGTGGCGTTAGTGTTTCACAATTTAGACATAGAAAATTGGTGTTTATATTTATATTAATAGATTCCTGTTATCAAAATCTTCACTTTTCATTTTTAAGATTTCCTTAGTTTCTTCACTTTTACAATCATCGCAGAGCCTGATATTTCTCTGTCTTTTCAATGAGTTAGAAAAAGTCATAGCAGAAATCAAAGGACTGACATTACTTCTACTCATCTTTATAGTTGATAAGAAATAATCAGATTACTTGAGATATCCGAACCTATTTATATAATTAATTATTTCAAATGAATAGTTTAGCATTCAACCAATTATTTGTTTCTTGTTTTTAATTCTTAACTTTCTATCTTTAAGTTAAGTCTATAACAGATGAAAAAAAGATACCAAAGGGGAATAAACAACTCAATATAAATTTCCATTTGCTCTATTTTTGGAACAATAAAAATTATTTATATTTTTTTAAATTCATTTAAATTGATTATAACTACCCTACTTAATCTTTTGATCTAATTTCTTTATTCCATTAGGGACTATTATGATAGACATTGAAACATTAAACTCTCTCTTATTCACCACAAACAATGGCCTTTTACTTTCTATTTGTCGTAACGTTTGTTTTTTTGTTTGTTTTTAATTTAATCTATCTGGGTGACACAATACAATTATTTTTATTTTATTACAGCTAAATAGTTATCGAGACATGGGCATATGAATTAGTACAGTTTTATTATTGATATAAAAAGGTCATGGTGTTATGATTTCTAAAACCCAGGTTTTATTTTAAATTTTATAAGTGTTAAATAATTCTATTTATTGATTAAACTATATTTTAATTATAAAAATATTATTAAAGTATAGTTTTTAATAAACCCCAGAAGTTAAATAGTTTTTAAAGCGTTAAATTAAAGAAAAAGAGGAATGATATTTACAAAATAGTTAATTTATGATATTGAAGATCCGTTATGTATTAAAAATGCGATTATTGTATTAAATTATTTTTCAAGTTATGGAAAAATAGAAGAATTATTTTTATGGGCATTTAAAGAAGAAAATTGTAATTTAAAAACAGCGTATTTAGAAGAAAAAAATGAAGTAGAATTTAATAGATTTTATTCAATATTTAGTCGAGTATATTCATTACAAGAAATCAATGAATTTCAAAGAAATATATGTAAACCAATAATTGAAACACCAGAATATTTTGAACAACTTAATATTGAATTATTAAAAAGTCCAAAAGAAGAATTTACAGAAGAAATGATAGAAATATCAAATCAATCATTAGGGACATTAAGAGAAATTATATTAACAATGACTGAATCAATGAAAAATAATATTGAACAATTACCAAAAGAATATTGTTCAATATTAAAATATATTATTGAACATGAAACTGTTAATTTAAATAAACAAGAAATTCAAAAAATATATGAAGAATTATTTGCTGTTTTTATTCAACAAAATATTGTTCCTTTTCTTCAAAATGAAGTTTTACTTAGAAAGATGTATAAAAACGAATTAATCGATCAAAATATTAATAAGATTAAATTCATTGCTGAAACTTTTAAAACTTTCGGATTTAAATCTAATGAAAGTTGTGTTTTATTACTTAGAAATTGTATCGACGAAAATGGTCTTTCTGAATTATTTAATAAAATTATTAATCAAGCTGAAATTATTCAACATCCTAAACCTTTAAATAAATTAAATAATTTGATTTTATTACTTCACTCTTCTATATTACCAATTAAAAGAAATTTAAGTCATGAAGTTTCTGCTAAATTATTAAAAGCTTTGGAAATACCTGCTTGTTGTTATGATGATTTTTTAGTTTATAATAAGTTAATTCAAAATATAGCTAATTTTACTATGAGTTATTACCATTGTTTTAGAGAAACATTAGACAAAGCAGAAGCTCAATCTAAAGAATTAGAAGAGATTAAATCTCAAATCGAAAAGGCTAAAAAAGAATTAAAATCTAAAAAATTAAAAAATTGTAATCTTCAGATTAGACTTGATGACTTGAAAAGTAAAAACGAACAAGATGATGAAATGGATGTAATGAGTTTCTTACGTGAGATGGCTAAAGAAAAACAAGAAAATCAACGTCTTGCTGAAATCCATATAAAAGAAAAGAAAGACAAAAAACATTCTGATAAAAAGAAAGAAAAAAGAAAATCTTTCTTTAAAGACGAAGAAATTCCCGTTGTTCGTTCATTATCTTCTTTTGAAGGTAAAGATTGTGGTAAAAATTCTTACTATAAAAGAGAAAGTTGTGCGTCTGTTTGTATTGCTGGTAGTAGTGAATATGAGGAAAAGAAAAAGAATAGGCTATCTAGATCATTTTTAGGACTTTTCGAAAAGAAAAAGAAAGAAAAGAAAAGTGGTGATGAAAGTGGTTGTGATAGTAGTGTATTAGATTCTAGTGAGACTGTATATCCTGTTAGTGTTTCCTCAAATACTCCATCTCTCAGATCAAACGTTCATTTATAACTTTTATATTCATTTTATTTTTATTTAAACCAATTTCATTTCTTTTTTTATTTATTTCTTTTTGATACTTCTTTTCATTTCGTTTAACTCCTTTTTTATTAATTTTTATATTCTTATAAATTAATTGATCTATATCTTCACCAATGAAATCTTTATATTTGAAAATACCTTTACTCATTTCACAAAATTATTTCTTTTAACTATAAATTTAAGTACTCAAAATGTAGTTATTTTTTATTATATTTTTTATAGAAGTGGTTACAACAAAATCATAATTTATTTAATCTTTGCAAAATTTACAATATTCATTATTCCAATTAATAATCGTTCTATCAATCTTTTTTAAAAATATAAATATGAACCTCTTTTATTTTACTTAAAAATTTGTATTAATTGTGTTTATTTATTATGTTCAATATTTAGTTTATTAATTATTCATTCATATTAACGAATATTTTGATGATGTTATTTAACTATAATATTAACTTCTTTGAATAATATTACTTTAGAAGAATGATTCTATAAAATGAGTTGCTTCTTTGGACTGATAAATTTAAGAGAAAAAAACAAAGTTAAATTAAAATGAAGAATAAAGACAAAGTTAATTATAAAATAGAAACACCTTTAGAAGAAAGAAAACGAATAACTTGTTGAGAAACGGAAGTACCAGTAAGAACAATGTTTAATAATTTTGTACATTTATTGAGTAACATTTGAATACCCGAGTCAGTAACATTAACACACATACGTAATTCTACAGTAGTTAATAAAGGACAAAAATCGGAAATATTTGATAATAAAGCATCACTACATTGAGAGAAATTTAATCTCATTACATTCATCCATTGAGCTTCTTGAGAAAATAATTGAGGGGCACTATAAGTAACTCCTTGCATAGAAAAACTAGTAATTCTAGGTAAAGCATTAATAATGAATTGAATTTGATTTGGAGTAAAAGGAGTAAAAGAGATATCAAGATATTGTAATGAATGGATACCAGATAAAATGATACCACAATCAGGAGTAATATTTTCACAACCACTGATATCAAAATGAGATAAATTTAAACAAGAATCTCTTACAGCTAATATTACTCTATTAGTTACTGCTGTTGTATTACTTAAGAATAATACTCTAAGACGAGGAGAACGATAAATGAATTGAATTAAAGCAGTTTCAGTTAAAGTAGTATTATTTGTACAATAAAAATGAGTTAAAGAATGAGCATTATCACCTAATACAGTTAAAGCAATAGTAGTTAAAGCAAGACAAGAATTAAGATTTAAGCTAATTAAATCACATCCTCTAACAGTAAAGAAATTAATTAAAGTTTGTTCATTCATTTTACATTGTTTAAAAGATAAAGTAAGAGGAGAAAATTTCCCACCTTTTCTAACAACAGATCTTCTAGTGACATTTGCTGCAACACAACTTGATTGAAGAAAAGATTGAATAGAAGGTTCATCAACAATTAATCCATCTAATATTAAAGTTTTTAAATTTGGAGTATTTTGTAAAATATTAGTTAAAAAATAAGTAGAAATACGAGTACAACCAGAAATATTTAAATAAATAAGATCAGCTAACCAAGAAAATAAAGAAGAAGCATATAATTGATTATAAGATCTCATAAGATGTTCACCAGAAACACCAAAACAATTAGATAAATTTAAATTATTTAATTTAAATTTAGAATGAAATAATTGAGATAAAGTAAGTATTCCAGCATTAACACAATTTGTTAAATTTAAATAAGTTAATTCAGGAATTTTTTGTAAAAATGATTGAATTGATTTATCAGTTAATCTTTGTGAAGATATAGATAATGAAGATAAATGTGAATTTCTTTTTGAAAGAATAGAAAGACATTCATCAGTAAGATTTTTACAATTTAATAATTCTAATTCAATTAAATCATGAAGGTATTGTAAACCTTTACTTGTTAATAATGTATTATTTGCTTTAAAAATACGTAATGTATTTACATTTAAAATATTTTGTATTCCATAATCTGTAATTCTTGAACAATTAGAAACATTAAGTGTTTCTAATGGTGGTGATGATTGTAATATTGCTAATAAACAAAAATCATCAAATGGAAGACATCCTGATGCATTTAAATGTTTTAAATATGGAAAATTTTTACACATAATTCCTAATTCATCTGATGAACATCCTCTAGCAAATGAAATATCTAATGTAGTAATATGTAATGATAATGATAATTGAAATATATTAAGACAAGTACTTCTTGTTAATAAATGTGTATTATGAATATCTAATGTTATTGTATTTACACCTGATGCAAGTAATCTATACATAATAATATTTAAATCTATATCTGTTGCATTTGGATTATTTGAAACTACTTGAAGTAATTTTGTAGCAAGTAATGGTGGTAAAGGTAATGGTTCTTGTGATTGTGATAATGATGAAAAATTTTCATCAAACCGACTAAATGCATCTAAAATAATTTCTGTTAATGAAGGAATAATTGTTCCTTCACGACAAAATAATGAAAATGGATGAGATGGAATATTTAATGAAACAGCTTTTCTTCTTCTTTGATGAGTTAATTGAAATGATTGCATCTTCTTATTTCAAAAATGATATTAACAGTTAAAAAAAAAAAAGAAAAAAACAATTTGGAAAAAGTAAAGTACTTGGAAGTTTCTTATTAAAATCAATATAATATATAATTTTTTATTATCAAATTCATTGTTTATTATTCTTTTTCATGTTTAAACTACAGATTATGTAAATTTTCTTGTTAAGAATTATTGTTTTTAGATTATACGTTTTATTCTTTTAAAATATCTTATACTTTATTGATGTATATTATAGGAATAAAATTAATGAAAAATATAATTGAATGAAAATAAGAAAAGGAACAAAGACTTGAAAATTCAATTAAGTAAATAGAAATAACAATATTATTTATTATTAATTTATGTTTTTTATTTTATGAATTCTAGTTTTCATTAAATTAAATCATTTTCATTATATATCACCCACTCTACAATAGAAAACAATAATTGAAAAGAAATATTACAAAGATTAATATAAAAGAAGAATAAGTTTATTTTTTTAGAGAAATAAGAAGAAAAATTTATTGGTAATAAAATGAGAAATAATTTTCTCAATAGTTTAGAGTTAATAACCACTCTATGCAATGGTTTTGTTCTAAGATAAACAATTATATTTTTTAAAGACAAACCATATTATTGAATGGTGTTTTATAATAAAAAAATTATAAATCATAGTATTTTTGAAAGAAGGACAAAACAAAAAGAACAATAAGAAAAGAAACAATAAAAGAACTAAATACTAAAAGTTAAAAAACAAAAAGAAAAGGAAGAAAATTCTGAAGAAGAAAAGTTCTAAGAAGAAAAGAACTGCATAATCAAACGAATGATCAAAGCATTATTTATTGTAAATTGTTCAAATGATATTATTTACCAAAAAAATTATGGAAAAACAATTGATAAAGGTGTTCTAGTTCCATTTTATGATAAATGTTTGTTTTGACATTTAATTATTTTTTATTTTACCAAATTCAGGTAAATATTAATTGGATTAATTAATTTCAATATAAAATAAAAAAGGTATTTTAAAATTATAAATATATTTAATAAATTATATTTGTTTATAAAAAAAAAAGATTTAAAATTAAATATTTACTTTTTATAGTAACTACTATTCCAAATTATAATAATATACCACCAGTAATCAATTGTAATAGTTATTGTTTATTCCATTTTTGTCATGAAGTTTGTTTTATATTCTTATTAGATTAAAATAATAAAAAATCTTAATAATAGTTACCATCTAATTCAGTCTATTTTATTGCTGTTACTGATATAGATGTTTCACCATTATTTATTTCATCATTTCTTCAACGAATTCGTATTATATTAAAATATTGTTATCCAGATGGATCATTTAATGATAATACATTAAAACAAGATTATATTCGTCTTATACAAATTATGGATCAACTTGCTGATGGAGGATTTCCATTTATTACAGAACCAAATACTATTGATGCTCTTCTTAATGAAAATACAACATCTCAAAAAATAGAAAAAGCAGTTTTAGGAGAATTAACAGTAAATTATGATAAAGATGCATTAGGTTCAAGAACTCTTCCATGGAGAAAAGATGGAGTTATTCATAAAACAAATGAAATTTTATTTGATGTTAATGAACGTATTTCTACAGTTTTTAATCTTATAACAGGAAAAGCATCAAGAACAGAAGTATTAGGAGAAGTAATTTGTATTTCTTCATTAAGTGGAATTCCAGATATTACACTTAGATTTGAAAATCCACAAATTATAGATGATGTTTCATTTCATCCATGTATTAGAATTGGAAAATGGGAACAACAAAAAGTTCTTTCTTTTATTCCACCTGATGGAAAATTTACATTATTTAATTATCGTGTAAGAGGTACTCTTCAAGCACCAATTAAATTAGGTGGATCTATTAAATATACTTCTTCACAAGGATTAGTTGAATTAAGTGTTTATTCAAATAATATTGCAGGATTTGGAAATGGTCCATTAAAAAGTGAATTAATTAATCAACAAGTTATCATAGAATTTCCAGTTTCTGTTACATCATGTCAATTAGTTGTTAATACTGGAAAATATATTTTTGATGGAATAAAACATGTTTGTTTCATTTTTAATTATTTTCATTAATTTATTTATTAAAATAACAACATTACTTATATAATAATAATGAAATATTAAGTAATAAAATAGGTTTTAATTTGGAATATTGGAAAAAATGACCCAAAAATTGTCCCAACTATTAGTGGTACTGTTAACCGTTCAATGTATGAAGATACTGATACTTTTACTAAAGTTTCAATGAATTTCCAAATTATTAATTATGCTGCTTCTGGATTAAGATTTAAACATCTTGAATGTAATCAACCTTATCAAGTAAGAAAAGGAGTTAAATTTACTACTTATGGAGGAAGATATCTCATTAAAGTTTAATCATGAATTGAATCGTTTTCAATTGATTGAATTTTTAATAATTTCAATACAAAAATTTTGTTATTTATATTCTATTATTAATAAACCCATAATTTCTTTATCAAAAACAATTAAAATTTTTGAATTAAGTCTATTATTTAATTATTGGAAATATGATGTCTAAATTAGAGTCTCTGAATTAACTGTAGAGAAAATTGTTCTTCTAAACCTGATTTCCTTTTTTTTTCTTTCTTTCTTTGAATGATATTATAATCATTCTAAAACAAAAAGTTATTAATTTAAGAAAACATAAATCAATAAGAAATTTATTAAATTCTATGACAATTGATGAATCTATTAACCAATTATTTATTGAGATAAATTCTATTAACTCATTAATTGTTTGTTATCTTTTTTTATACATAACTAAATAATTAATGTTATTAAAGAATGATATTATTGATGTTATCTTAAAAGAAGTTCTTGAAATTAAGACAAAACAAGATGCTTTATTTGTATTACTTACAAATCCATCTCTTTCATTAGCAAGTTTGATTTATAGACAATATTCAATAACTGAAGATAATCTCCATGAAATATCTACATTCATTGAGTCTATCAAAAAAGACTTTTCATTATTATGTCATTGTCCAGAAACACTCTTCGATAGTTTTATCAAGTTTCTTCCTCATAATATGAAACATAGATTACTTCAATTTTCTTCTACTTCGTTGTTATCATCAATAAAAACTAAAAAGATTCAAGAAAGGTATAAATTTGATTATCTTACTCAACAAGTTAAAGAAATTCAACATGATTGGATAGATCAATTGACATCAAAACCTCTTAGTCACATACAACTAAGTAAATTCAATAATTTATCAACGGTCATTTCAACACTAGACATTGAAAGTCTTCAGAAATGGGTTGGTAAAAATGAATGTGAATTAATTTATTCAGTTCATCAATTAGGTAGTACTGCAGATTTTAATGACAAAATTAGTGGAAAACAAAACATTACATTTCTTTTTAGTGTTTCAAATGGATTTGTATTTGGATGTCATTTTGGTCAAATCCCAAAAACTTGTCAACATCTTATTCATGCTAAAAATGATCCAAATCATTTCATTTTTACTCTTGGTGGATGTCGTGGAACAAAACCAAAAAGATTTCAAAGAACTACTAATACTAGTGCATTATGGTTGATGTCTAACCTTGAAACTGAGAAACTTATTGATATAGATGCTGCTTTTTATATTAAACACTATGGAAAATCTTTTGTATATCAAAATATTGATGAGTTCTACACTATAAAATCCAAAGAGATTGATACTTTCACAGGTAATCATTATCCTTCAACATTTAGAATAAAATATCTTTTTGTATTACAATGGAAATAGACTAAAAGAATTTAAGTCCATTTTTCAAGAATTTTTTATTCTAAAGATCGTTTACTTTATTTAATTGTGAAATTAGAGAATAATATCATCTAATTATTTGGAATTAATTTATATAAATTATGAATCTTATCAATACATATAATTGTTTAATTTAAATTAAACTTGGTTAATGAATAATAATTCTGATAATATAATTTTAAAATGATTTCAATAACCAATAGTAAAGCAATACAATTTTAATAAAATTTTGATGGAAATAACCTAAGAAAACATAATAACTTAGAATTTCATATTGTTATATAAATAATTTGTTCTTACTCATTCTTACAAAATAAAAATAGCTAAAAATTATTTTCATATTACTTTCAACACACTTAATTGTTGAAACACAATATCAAAATAATATGTTCTATGTGTTTTCTTTTTATATTTCATTATTGTTTATGATGATTCATTCAATTTGTATTTAATACTTATAAAACATGTTAATTGAAATAGAATAAATAACTATTTTATTATTATGCCTAATTGATATTGTTAGTTAATCAATTGAAATATTATATTATGATGTATTCATTAGTTAAACACTGACATGAAATAATTGTTAATTTATTTAATTAATAAATCTGACTTTTTGAATATCTTAAATATACTCTAATAAATTTATTTTTTCATTGTGCTATTCATTTTAGTTTATTGTTTACTTAATTTTTAGTGTTGCTTGTTATTTGTTTATTGGTATATTTTTTACAATTCGGTTGTTATTTACTGACATGAGTATTGAATCTGTTAATGTTTTGTTTACAACGTTATTTGTTTTCTATTCCTTGTTTTATTCTTTCATCAAAAACTATTGATAAAATCCTTTGACTCTTGATGTTTGTAATGTTATATATCTTATACAGGAAGAAATGAATAAAGACAGTATAAGAAAAAGTTTTACTCTGTAGTTTAAACCAAAGAACAGATTAAAACATTTTTGTAGTAAAAAGATTCCTGAACGACATCAATGTTTTCTTTTATTTCATTGTTGTAATAAAATTCAAACTTTGTAGTTTGCTGGTGGCTAATAGAATTGGAAATGTTGAAATATAAAATGGTTTAATCAGAAACAAAATAGAAAGGATTGTTACACATATATGGATTCATAAAAGAAATCAAATAATGAAGAAATATTATGGTATGAACGAATATTAAAAGTGGACGTCATTTATTTTTGAATCAAAAAGTATATAACACGATTAGTATGATTACTAAAAGTGGTAATATTGTTCATTCATTAGCAGTTGGTGATATTCAAATAAAAGTTAAGGAAATTAAAAGATTAACTGAAAACAATTATAATAAAATGTCATAAAGAAATCAAATTTAATAGAGAAATGAAGTTATTCAAAAGAGATACTAGTAAGTGAGTTGTAATTACAAAGTAATGATTCGTATGAGATAATCTTTAGAATTTGAAGTTGAGAATATGGTTATGGTCAAAATAAGAAGTGAAATGAAGTAAATGATTGAAGAGTTTTTATAAAGGAAAATAACAATGTATTTAGATTTAATAAACATTATAATTGACTGAAGATTTACTCTTTATTTATTTTTTATTGTTTTGTGTTGTCATTTAATGAATAAAGTTATGTAAGAATAAAATATTCCTTCATATGAAATAGAAAATGAATATCATTCAAATTGAATTTTGTATATTTTCATATAAATTATTTCAATCATTTAATATTTACATAAAATCGTATTAACTATTGTTTTTACTTTCATTTAACATTCACCACTTTTGTATTCTTTTGTCTTCAAACTATTTTTTTTTTCAATAATGTGAATATGTTTTATTGGTTTCTTTTCAAATATCAATACTAATTATGAACAAATTCATAAATTGAAGAATAAACTTAGTTTATATCAAATTTTCATATTCCTCCTGGATTTATTTCTAATAAACAACACAATTAAATCTCATTACACAATAACTAATTTGATTAACTTGACATTAAACTTGAATTTTCTCTTGTTTAATGAGAATGAATTAGATAATACAGAAAAAGAAAATAACACAGATTTATGATATTACCAATATTGTTTATTAAATAATTATCATAAACAATAAAAGTAAACAAATAGATCATCAGCCATGTAGTTCGTTTTAATGAAATTAAAGAAAATAAACTGTTTTAAGAAATTAAAGACTTGCTTTTCTATCACTCATTTTATCTTTAGAAATTGTTAGTTATATTTCTAACAAAAAAAAAAAACATAAAGTAGTTTAAAATATGAATTAAAAACAATTCTTTAATCAACTCAACATTAAATAATCATAAGTGATAAGAAGAATATTACATTAATGCATCAACAGATGAATTAAGTAATTTAATCATCATCTGTTTTCGTTTTTCAATAAGATGTCGTTGAGAAGGATCTTGACATTTTCCCATTTTTTTAAGTAAAAAAAGATGTATACCTTTTCTAATTTTCAAAGAATCAACATCTTTTAAAGCAATAAGTTTTGTAAATATATTTGTAACATTTTCCATTGAATCATCTCCTAAAACTCTTTGTAGAACAGTTCTTGCAAAAACAATTTCCATAGTAGTTGGTGTAATTAAATTAATTCCTTTTAAAACTCTTAATCCAAGAAAATCTTTTGATATTAATACACCAAGAAGTGTTGCCCAATTAATGATAGCTCTTATACTATATTTTTCTAAATCTTTCATTCTTTCATAGAATGCTATTTGAAAAGTAAATTTATTTGATTTAGATTTTTGAATAATTTGTTCTGCAATAAGTTCAAAATATTTATTATAAGTTTTTGATTGTCCTAAACAATACATTAAAACAAATACAACTTCTCTTTCTTGTTCTCCATGTAATCCAAGTTGAAGTATTCTTTGATATCCATCAACATAATCCATTGCACCCATTAATGCAATAAAAATTGCTTTTCTAAGTTCAGTATTCATATGATGTTCTCTTGCTTTTGCAACTGTTTCATTTTCTCCTTGATTTGTTAATGCTGTAACAAACATTTCTGAATGTGCAGAACCAGCTTCCCACCATTTATTTGTTTTATCTATTATATTTTTTAATCCAACACTTAATTCAAATCCTTTAGTAACTCCATACTTTTTCCAAACAATTCCAATAATTTTTTTATATCTTTCAAGTACAACTTCATTCTTACCAACTAATTTATTATTTTTTAAATCATTTAAACTCTCAATTACAAATTTCTCTTTTACACTAAGTTCTTTCCCTTTTATTACTTCATTAACTTTTATTAAAATTTCTCTCAAACATTTTGGATTCTCATTTCTTATTTTATTTCCTCCATTCTGAATTATTGCCATAACTATATCAAATTTATTTTTTTCAATAGATTCTATTAATAATTCAATCAATAATTTCTCATCAATTACTTTCATATAATATAATCCACATAAAAATACTGCTACTGATCCTGTAGGTGGTTCTTGAAATAATTCTTGAAGTAATTCACCACAAATTCCAATATCTACTGCACCAGATATTCCAGAAACAAATGCAGATAATAATAATACTTGTTCTGTTAAATCTGACATAACATTAATTGTTTTTATACAACACGTAATAATAGCTTGAGTAACAAATGCTTTTGGATATTGTTGATAATATCCACTCACAGTTCCAATAATTCCTTCTAATGTACTTTCAGAAATTCTATTTAATTGTCCACGAACAAATCTTAAAACTTCTTGTTCACTCATAATGTGAATGATAATTAATTAATCAAAAAAACAACAAAATTTTCTAAATAAACCCTAAAACAAAAAAATAATAACAATATTTTTTTTTTAAGAAAAAATAATTTAATAATCAAATAATATGTTATATGAAGATTTAAAATCAAAATACTATTCTATTGAATTTTTTTATATTCAAAAGAAAATCATTAATTAATTGATACTACTACTTTTTTTCTCTTTTATCTCTTTAAAATAATACACCTTAATAAAAATGAACACCTTTGTTGAATAAAAGCTATTTTTTGTTCTTGACTTAATTTCATAACTTGTGTTAAAACATAATTAATACAGTCATTTTGAACATATCCTTCAAAATAACATAATCCACATCGTTCCATTTCTTTTAATAAACATACATCACAACTTCTTTCCCATCCATCTTTATACATTAATTCAAGTTCAAATGGTAATTCATATGATCCTTTTCTCACTTGATTTAATACATATTTTAATGCTGTATATGAATAAATTTGATTTCTAATATGTAATGGACATGTTTGAAATAATTCAGGATTCATTATATAATCTTTTACTACTTTCTTAACAAATTGTTTTGGGTATTGTATAAATGCATCATCTGGCCAACATTCTACAAATGCTCCAAACATCATAAAATATTTTTCAAATACTTCAAATACATTTTGATTAAATAGGATTGGTTGTTGTCCTATTTGTGGTTGTTGAATTGTTCGTTTTATTTGAAGTGGTTCTTGTCTATAAAACATTTCTGGTTGTTGAACAATAGAAGGAAAAGAATTATTAAATGTAGATATTCTTTTAGGTCCTGATGGTTGAAGAGATTGTTGTGGATAAACATTAGGAATTTCTTCTTTTTTATAAGGTTTCAAATTTTGATTTAAAGATATTTTTTGTTGTTCTCTAGGGATATCTTTAGTTCTATCTCTTATTGATTCATATTTAACTGGAGATGGTGTATGACAAGATTCTCTTTCTTTAATAATATCACGAACAATATGTTGGAAAGTTCTTTTCTGAGATGAATTAGATTTTTGTATTGAACTTGTTGTTTGTATAGGAAGTGGTGGTTGTAATAATCCAATTGTTTCTTTTTGATTTCTTTGTTTTGGAAAAGTTGTTGTAGAAGATAAATCTTTCTGTAAAATTTTTTTTTCTTTTTCTGATTTTAAACCAATTCTTATTTTATCATCTTTCTTAGGAAAAGCAACAGGTAGTTGAAGTAGTTCAACTGAAGAAGAATAATCTGATTGTTCTTTAGTATTTTGTTGGTTAAAAACATCTTTAATTTCATTTATTTTAGGGTTATTATTTTTATTTGTAAATGACTTTTCTTGTTGATGAGATTGATTCTTTTTTTTTGTTTGGTTATTTATTTTTTTCTCTGGTTCATTTAATATGTTTGTAGTAGATTGTATTGATAATGTTGTTAGAGGATCATTTCTTGGAAATATTTGTTGTTCTTGGGTTATTTCCATAGTATTTTCTTTTTGTTCAAATTTTAATGTTTCTTTAGAATAATGACTCTTACTAGGTGGTGAATTCTCAACAGAGGTAAATTCATTGTTTGTTTCTTCATCAGTCAAAGTGTATGAATCATCCTTTTCTTGGTCACTCATCTTTCTATTTTTATAGATTTTTTTGTTTTAGTTTTGTTATTTTCATTATTGTTATTTATAGATATAAAGAATATTCTTAGTTTTTTTTTTTTTTTAAGATAGTATTTTCTTTAAAGGATTTTTTCTAATAATAAATTAGATAATTTTAGAAAAAGAGTTGTTGATTAAGATTTCAGAATTTAAAAAAAAAAAACTAGAAAGATCAGAAAGGATATTCAATATATTCAATAAAAAATATTAATTTAATTCCATTTGATTATTATCATCTTCCCAATATTTTTCAATTTCTAAAAGAAGTTCTTGATTTTCTATACTTAGAATATCTTCTTCTTTCATACCATCTAATAATCCAACACAATTACTTTCTTCTAACATTATTTGATAACAATTAAATCCATGAAAATGACTTTCTTTTTCTCCAATTTCAAGAATTTTTATAATTATTTTTAAAGTATAATGTAAAATATTAGAAGTTTCACCATATGAAATAGAAAGTATTCTATAAAATGAATCAAATACATCAATATTTAATATTTTATTAATAATATCATCATTAAGTACAGCAAGAATATTAATTAATACCCATCCTGATTCAATAACAATTTCATGAATTGGTGATGTATTTATTTCAACAAGAATATTTTTAAATAATTTACTATTTACAATGATTGAAGCAGCATTTCCTTGTTTACATGCAATAATATTTGATAAACAATACATTAGAGTTGGTGTAATTTTATCATTTGTATAATCTGAAATTATTATCATTTCATTTATAAATCCATTATTTACTAATTCTTGTGCAAATTCATTATCATTTGAAATTAATGTTCCAATACATTGTAATACAACTATCATTACTTCTTCATTTCCACTTTTAATTCCTTTAATAAAAAGTGGTAAAAGTGGTTTTTTTAGATTTTGACAATATGTTGTATCTTCACATAAATAATCTAATCCAAGTAATGCTTGTGATACAATCATTGAATCATTCATTGTTGCTGCATATATAAGATATTCAGCAAATTGTGTAAATATAGAATAAGATGGTTTTGGTGTAAATAAACATAAATTAGAAACTAATCTTGTACATTCAACAAACATTGCTTGTTCTGTATTATCTTTAATAAAATATATTAATATATTAATTATTCTATTCATTACTTCATCTCTTAATTTAATATTTTCTGAAGCTAAATTTGCAAATACCCAACAAATATCTCTTTTAAATTGATTTGTTAACATAAATGGAAGAAGTTGTTCAATAACTCCAAGTTGAATCATTTTTATAAGTTGTTGAGTATTTCCTGAACTTACATTAACTAATATATAAAGTATATTCATTTTAACTTCATTATCAATGTTTTTTTGAAATATTTGTAACATACGAGGAATAGTTATTGTCATAAGTATCATATCAAATATTCTTGATTCAAATTCATTTGAAACTTCTGGTGCTTTTTTAACAATTTCTTTTAACATTTTAATACTTTCAATGATAATTTCATAATTATCACTTTGAATTCCATTAAGAAGTAATTGTATTTGTTTATCATTTACATTAAAATATTTTTCTTCTGAATTTATTTTTATTTTTTCTATTTCTTCTTCTTTATTATTTTTTCTTTTTAACTCTAACATTTCTTTTCTTTTATTTTGTCTTAATGTAGAATGTATTGAATAATTAGTATTACATACTTCAGATAAATTTTGTATACTTTTTCTATACATTCTCCTTCTTTTATTTTTACTAGTTTTTAGTTTTTGTTTTTGGAATAACATATTTTATAAATTTCTTGAACTTAAAAATTTTATTGAATTATGTTCTAAATAAATCATTTTTTAATTGAAAAGACAGAGATGTATTGTTTTAATGATGATCTTTATTTTACAAAAAAAAATACAGAAAAACTTCATCAACATAAATACTCATGTATTGATCATTCATTATTGAATACTTATATTTTTAATAGTTTGTATTATTTTCTTTACTTCTATGAAAAAAAAAATGTAATATTTATTTCCATTATTAAACTTATTAAACTTATTCATTTTATTAGAATATTTATACCAACCAATTCTAACTTATTTAATACCAAGAAATTTAGCTCCAAATATTATTAGTATTTTAGGATTAATTGCATGTCTTCTAGCTTTAGTTGTACATTATCTTAATATTTTTGGACGATATGAATATTTAATTATTGGGATTTTATTATTTTTATATCAATTATTTGATAGTTTAGATGGAATGCAAGCAAGAAGAACAAAATCATCAAGTGCATTAGGAGAACTTGTTGATCATGGTATTGATGCATTTACATCAGGAATAATTATTGTTATTTTAACTCAACAATGTGGAATGAATCAAACACAACAAATAATTTTAATACTTGAATGTTATATAGTTTTTTATATGAATCATTTTATTGGATATTTTGAAGGTAAATTAGAATTTGGCTATATTTTAAATCCAACTGAAGCATTATGTATATTAATTATTTATCAAATAATTAGAACAATTTTTAATTTAACTCCATATATTTTTCAAACAACAAAATTAGGAAATTTATCATTAAATACATTACTTGTTATTATTCTTACTATATTTGCTTTAGTTAATGTTATTACTATTTTAATTAAATTAAGAAATTATTCTAATATAATTAAAACAATTTATCCATTTATTATTATTATTATTATTGCATTATTTATTATGATGAAAAAAACTAATTCATCAATTCTTCTTCAACTTAAAATTTTCACTTCAATATTATTATTAACTCATTATATTCAACTTTTTATTGCTCATTATATTCTTCAAATAGATCGTCCAGGAATTGGTTTTTTATATTCTACTTTTATATTATTTTCAAATATTTATCTTGTGAATATTTCTAATATTAATTTGATTACTGGTAACTTAACTGGAATAGATTCATTTCCAACTGTTATTTTGATAATATTTGGATTTAGTTTTGCATTTTTATCAGAACTATCATTGATCATTAATGTGTTTATTATTTTCAGTAAAGTTTTAAGACTCCATCCATTTACTATTTGAGTCAATATAATCATTTAAAATGAAAAAAAAAGATAATTTTACTTATTATTCATTTATTGTTATTTAATTTGAAATATTCATTTAAAACTCTTGTTCACTTAATAGCATATTTGGTATTCCATTATGAATTGGATAATGTCTTTCACAGATAGGACAAATTAATTCCCCTTCAATAACTTGACAATCCATAACAACATCCCAAAGAGCTTGAAGAAATTGTTGGTTTGTTTTCCAATCTTCTGGAAGAGTTGGTGGAACTACTAATCCAATATTTGCTGCACCAGTCACAAGTCCATTCCAATTTAATCGTTCTGACTCAACAAGTGAAATTAAAAAGTTTGCATCAAGTGGTGTTGTTACTTTTTCAACTTTTTCTGCTGTAATTTTTAATGGAAAACTATTAATACCACATTGTCGTTTTGTACAAATAAGAAGGTTGTGTGTAAATAATTTCATAACTTCTTAATCAAATTAGTGCAAATAACTTAATTTTTATTTGAGATGAATAGGGTTTTGAATTTCTTAATAAATATTTTTTTCGATATATATAACGTAATTGATAGAAAGAAGAAACTCATTTAAAACTAGTATCACTTAGGTATGGAAAGAGAACACAAAAATCAACATGATGAAATACAACAACAATACGATATGCATTTTGCACATGAACAATTAACATATAGATATTTTAAAGAAATGCAAGAAATTAGAAAAAAAGATAGAGTTTGTTGTTTTTATATACTATCAGAAAGATAATTAATATATTAGCAACAAATGAAAAAGATAAATGAAGAAGAACGAATAGCTAGAGCTGAAACAATGTATCAATTAGAAGATGGTCAATATTTTATTAAAAATGGAACTTTAATGTATAAATTATCTTCAAAAGATATTGTTGCTAAAGCTTCTGTTCATTAAATTACATTTTTTTTAGATAATTATGTTATTTCTCTTTGTTTTTTTTTTATCTAAAATACAATTTCATAAGATTTGAGTTCTTAAATATGAAATATCAATTAGACTTTCCATTTATCAAAA